TCACCCGCCACCATTAGCCGGTTTCTTTATGGTCCTACCACATGCCACTCTTGGTCCCGTAACACGTCGGAATTTGATTACCGCTGGGACATCGTGCGGAGTGGTACTTTCCAGAGGAATACTGAGCAGCGAGAGGCCGTGATACTATGGCTGGCCAGGTACATTGCTGCAGATGGCGAGCGTGCAGAATGGGTCGCTACTCCACGGTTGGGCATCCGGAGGGCCACATTGAACTTCGTAGCAAAATTCTTCTGGCTATTAGTACGCAACCGCGTGTCGCCCACAAAAGCCGACAATCAGGTCACTTGGGACAGAGCTGTGATGGTTGCTGCATTGGTGGCGGGAGTAGAGATCGACTTTGCCAAAATGCTGCTGGCAGAGATCCACGAAAGAGCTTTCAGGACCTCAACTACTTACCCTTTCCCCTGTCTGATATTTCACTTGTGCAGGGACTCTGGAGTACCGATCTGGCATTGTGACAGGCTAGTCCACCCTACAGGGGCATTGGACATCGGCCTTATTCGGGATGACGCGAATGTGGCAGCACCTCGCAGAGAGCCCCAGATTGAGGTACCCCCCTTGAGCTCCGATCTTGCAGACGCTGTGGGGCAGGCACAGGGCGGTGACCCCATTATCCCAGACCACACCGACACTGTCCCAGGCTCCTCTTCTCAGGCAGCGAGTGTGGCTCTTAGTTCTTCCCGGTCCACACCACAGTTAGGAGTGACGGTTGTCCCTATGGCCAGAGTACAAAAGTTAGAGGCGCAGATGGCCACACTCCTACATCACATCCAGCCTTGGATGCAAAAGTCGATTGCTGAGTCCGAGGCTAGATTGGAGCGCCGGATGGAAGGGATGATGGACCGTAAGGTCCTGGCGGTTAATAAGCGACTTGACGCCTTTGAGTTGCGAGTACTTGAGCGATCAGTTCCGGCCACAGACTTATCTGCTTTGCAGGCTGACATAGCCAGCCTCCGGACTGATGTGGACGCCATTCTTGCTGCACCTTCAGTTGAGACTCAGGCTGCGCCGACTGCACTGGCTGATGATACAGTGCTAGATGCCCTATTCAGTGGCATCGCCGAGGAGGGGCCTGCACCGACACATGCCAAGGGCAAGCGGCACCGCTCTCATCGAACAGAGGAAGAAAAAGCGCAGAAAAGACAGCGTCGGCAGGAGAAGGAGGCTAGAAGGGCCTCGATTGCAGATGAAGAGTCGCGCCAGCAGAGGGTGCGTGAGAGAGCTGCAGGGGCATCAAGCTCTGCCCCAGTTACAGAGGTTCAGCCTATTGTGAGGGGCGCTGTGAGCACCACTGATGGTGCGGAGCAAGTGATAGCGAGCACTACTGAGAGTTCTAGGATTGTTGAGGTGGGCACTACTGAGGGTGCCCCCACTGATGTTCCAGAGGGCTCCGGGAAACCGGACCCCCCTGTGTGTTGATGATTCGCCGGCGCTTTGCGCCACAGGTTTGCTTCACCCTAATCCATTTTCTTTTATTGTTTATGTATGCATTGTGGACAATCGCATCTATCTTTGTTGGGGGTGGGGTAAATGGATTGTGAGTGATAGGGTAAAGTCTGAGTAACCCAAACTCATGAATCCTCTCTTGGGGTTTTCTTGCCTGTGTTCTTTTTCCCCAAGTGACTGTTTAATTTTTTGTTGAACCGGCATGTCTTAGGAGTGTGTGTATAGAAGCATGATACAGAATGAAGCATGATGGCTTAGAAAAATGATACCCGTCAGATTCTGGGTTGTATGCTAGAAGTAGACTACGAATTGTTGACTGTGTTGGCTCTGAACATGATATAGTAACAATCGACTTGATTGCATGACTAAACCTGAAACTTGAACTGGAAATCTGATAATGAAACTTGTGCCAAGAGTGGGTGAGAATCATTGACTGTTCAAACAGTTTTGTGCAAAACTAGAACTTGCCCGGTTAGTCCTGCGAAGACAATTCAATCCAGAGGATAGGAAGTGATCATAGGCCGTTGTTCTGAAAAATCCATAAAGTGCCTAGAAGGATTCAACCAAATGAAATAACTGTTCCCGTTGATCCCACTTTGAGCCTAAAAATAAATCATTTCTTTCTAAATCCCCGAACTCACTTTCCCATAATCTACTATGTTGGCCCCGGTCCCTCCTTGGACATGTGCAATTTGATTTAGGCCAAAAGCCTAAGTTGAGGGTGGCTATGCAAGAGGAAACCGAAAGAAAAATGGGGATGAAAAGAGTGAAAAAAATAAAAAAATAAAAAAAAAAAAAAAATGAAAAATAAATAAATAAATTTGGGGGAAACGTAAGGAAAGGATGTGAATTATTCAAAGAGAAAGGAGCAATTAAAAGGAATTGAGCTTCAAAGTTTAAAGTCACTTCCGTGATTGAAGAAAATCAAAGGAAAGCGGTAAAGCAATAACATGACAAAAGTAGGGCAACAAGAGGTTAAAAGCCTAGTGTAATGACAAGGAGGGCAGAAAGTCACTAAACAGTACCCAAATGTACCACACCTGACCCTGAGCCTACGTTACAAGCCAATAAAGTCCTATAGTGATCCTGGAGTCTAGTTTGAAAAGTCTGAGCAGTGAAAATAAGGGCAAGCTTATGACAGTAAGCACAAACTGTATTTGAAATTACTTTTGAGCGTGAGTGTTGAATAAATCCTTGTACCATGAATGAAATCGAATTTTTTTACTAAAAGAGGATTTCGTTTGAAGTAAGGGCACTAGTTCCATTGTTGGAAAGTTGGTATCTGGGTGACAGTGAGAAGGTGTCTGTTGTGTGTTAGTTGGTTGGTCTGTGTCATGATGGATCCACATGAGTTGGCTTATCGAGTCTAAAAGAACGAATGTGCACCCGAACAATGAGGAGGTTGAAGAGCCATGTGATTGCTTGAGTTAGAAATTCTTGCTTCTATATAAGTGTCGTTTAGAGTTCTAGTGCGTCGCTTGAGGACAAACAACGAATTTAAGTTGAGGGTGTTGATATACCGTGAGTTTACGGTATTTCTAATACATTTCACTTACAAGTTGTGTGTGTCTAGGGCCTTTTTATATTGGTTTTTATGTATTCTATCATGTTTTGCAGGAAAGGTGTACAGGCGCGGAAGTTTAGAGACAACTGAAGGAAATGCAGAAAAAGGCATCCACGGAGGTCATCTACGGACCGTAGGTCCATCCACGGTCCGTAGGTGATGACCGTAGACCAGCAGGAATGTGTTGAGGACAAATCAGGGAAATCTGACCAAGTGTGGAACCACGGTGCCCATTTACGGTCCGTAGACCCATCTACGGACCGTACTGTTGATCCGTAGGATGAGACTGTGAGGGTTCCAGTACTTGATTTTTGAAGATTCTAAGTATGGAGCTACGGAAGGGATTGACGGACCGTAGATCGATCTACGGTCCGTGCTGCTGGTCCGTCGTTTGCTTCAGAGAAGCTGATTTTTAGATGCCGAAATATTTTCTAAGTCCCGAGTGACGGAAGGGACTTACGGACCGTAGATCAATCGACGGTCCGTAAGTCAGTCTCGTGGATCGAAGACGCGTACCTGAACAAAACTTTCCTTAATTTGTTTCCTTTTTTATTTAGGATTTGTTTTCTATAAATAGGACATGTAAACCTCGTTTTTGGGGGTTAGACACTATTATTCTATTTTTACTTTGGAACTTTGGAGATTAATTTGCAACCCTAGCAATTATTGATTTTGGAAGTTCGTTTTGAAGATTTTGGCTTGGCAATTCAAGTTAATTCTCTGGGTTTATTATTCTTTTTACGTAAGTTCATGATTTCTTCATCTACAATTATGAATTGTGTTCTTGCTGATATGAGTAACTAAATTCACAACTAGGGTTGTGGGAACCATGATCAATTAACAAAGTATGAATAGTAAATAAGCAATTCTTGACTAGTATTTTGCATGCATTGATAATTCTTTCGTTTAGAAGTCTTTTTAACGGTGGCCAACGTTAGAACTCGCCTTGTTACTACTTGCCGGACCAAGGAGGTAATTAACAAGAAAAGAATTATCAACATAGATTTAGTGTGATACTATCTAATAGGCTAGTGTCGATTGGTGCGAAGTAATAACTAAGCCAAACATCGATTATGATGTCTAATATGAGGTAAAGGTAAGGGTTAGTAAATTATACACACGTAGCCGGACCAAGGTGCGGGGTGAAATTCTCTGGATGCCGGACCAAGGATTTAGAGATACCTAACTTATCACTTTGCATGTAATACACTAGAAGGTGTAAGTGAGGAAGATGATTTGGAATTGCCTAATGATGGTATAATTGGGGTGGTTAGGAGAATTATGACTATCAATTTGGGTAGTGTTGATGAAGGGCAGAGAGAGAATTTGTTTCATACTAGGTGTGGGATAAAAGGGAAGACTTATTCTATGATTATTGATGGGGGAAGTTGTGCAAATGTGGTGAGTTCATACTTGGTGGATAAACTAGGAATTGCATGCATGAAGCGCTCTACCCCATATAGGCTCCAATGGTTGAATGATTGTGGAGAAGTAAAAGTAAACAAACAATGCATGATTTCATTCAATGTTGGTAGGTATGAAGATGAGATTCTTTGTGATGTAGTTCCAATGCAAGCATGTCATGTTTTACTTGGCCGACCTTGGCAGTATGATAGGGATACTACTCATCATGGGAGAAAGAATAGGTATAGTCTTCTGCATAATGGTAAGAAGTATACTCTTGCACCATTATCTCACGGTATATCAGTTGTATAATATTGGACTAAGATGATGGAACAACATGGTTGGTGAGGATTCATATAGCTGACCCAGGTTGCTTGGGATTGAGATGTAGTTGTTGTAATATATATGTATATAAAGTTTTTATCAATTGCTGCACAACAGTGTTTGGTGTTGTTGTACTCTGCATTCAAGGACTTGAACTTTTAGATTCGCCTTTGTAGTGGTGGTTGAATGGAAGGCTACCTTTTATGGTTTTAGTGAAGTGTGAATAATTTGATTGTGGCAGGGAGTGTACTGAGTGGTGGAGGAAGTGTGCCATTTCCAAAGGCTACTGCTGCGGACTGGGTGAAGATGGTAAATGGGATTCAAAAGGGTTCACTATCAACACGCCTTGGTATTCCAATGATTTATGGAATTGATGCAGTGCACGGGCACAACAATGTCTACAAAGCAACAATTTTTCCACACAATGTTGGCCTTGGAGTCACAAGGTAAGGGAAATCGCAGTTGCATATATTCATTTCAGCAGCATTCTTCACAAATTTTGAAATGTTTATATAAATGTGAAATTTGAAGAAACATACATAGGTTAGTGCTTGTGACATATAGTCTACTTCAATATTTGAACACAATAGGGCTTGAAAGTTTGTTCTTTTCTCATTATTGTTCTGTGCTGTGGATTTTAGATCACACTGCATCAACATGGGGGGAGGGGCTGAGAGATGGCTGAAATGTTGATTTAGAAAAATTCCGTGTCTTTTAGCAGGAGTAGTTCGAGAGGATCAATTACATCCTCTGCTGGAATTTTGTCTTTGAACTGATCAATTTTGCTTACATAAATGGGAGTGATGCTAAGACTTCCTTCCCTATCTATCTTTACTGATCATTATGAGGATGGAACCATGGTTTCAACTTTCAAGAGTCTGTCTGGAAATCTATTTTGCCGGAAGTGTTACTTTCAGGAAATTTGGGAAGATCATACTCAAATAAGAGATATTTTGTTGATATATAAGAGATTTAAAAATTTAGTTGTATTTTACAACTTGTTCTTTAAGTTCTTTTATTGCATTTACTGACACTTGGAATAATCTCAACTTTGCAATAGAGACCCACAGCTTGTGAAGCGGATTGGAGCTGCGACTGCCCTTGAAGTCAGAGCCACAGGAATCCCTTACACTTTTGCACCGTGCATCGCAGTGAGTGCTATCACATCATATACAGTTTACTTATTGTCTATATTTGATAGCCTTCATCATAGGTCTGGGTATTTGTTTTTGCTTGATACTTGATATCACAGGTCTGCAGAGATCCAAGATGGGGTCGGTGCTACGAAAGCTACAGTGAAGATCATAGGATTGTTCAGGCAATGACTGAGATCATTCCTGGTTTACAAGGAGATGCTCCGGCTAACTCCCGTAAGGGTGTTCCGTTTGTCGCAGGAAAGTACGTATCTCTAGTCTTTCACATCTTTATCCTTTCTGACTCCGTTTGTAAGTTCATTTGACTGCAAAGTATTGTGATTTAACTTTCATCTAGCTGTAACATTCGTCATTTCGTTACACATCCTCATCCATATTTAGCCTTTACGTCTATCTAGTATATGCTCTCCAATGACATGATTGTGCATTTCTAAATGTGCTCAAGGACAAAAGTAGCAGCCTGTGCTAAGCACTTTGTGGGCGATGGTGGCACTACCAAGGGCATTGATGAAAATAACACTGTTATCGATGTGAATGGGCTACTTAACATCCACATGCCTGCCTATATTGATTCAATTTTAAAGGGAGTTTCGACAATAATGGTCTCTTACTCGAGCTGGAATGGCAAGAGGATGCATGCAAACCGTGATCTAATCACTGGCTTTCTCAAGGGAAAGCTCAAGTTCAGAGTAAAAGAGCAGCTCTCTTTTTAGTTCTATTGGTCGAAATATAGTGAGGAGATTGCTGATCATCACATTTTCTGTTACCTTTATTTCAGGGTTTTGTCATATCAGATTGGGAGGCAATTGACAAGATTACTGAACCACCCCGTGCAAATTACTCTTACTCTGTTCAAGCTGGAGTTCTTGCTGGACTCGACATGGTCAGTCTAAAGGATTAATTCCAAAGTTGTCTGTTATATAAAATATACATTTACTAATTTCCCATCTAAATTATCACCTTGTCACCTGACAAAATTTGATTGTCATTAATCAACTCAAGCTGTAGTCACTTTTCACTTCCTAATGTATTTAGTTTTTATTATTGCAGATTATGGGTCAGGAAAACTTGGTTGAATTTCTTGATGATCTGGCTTTCCAAGTAAGGAACAATATCATTCCCATGAGCAGGATAGATGATGCAGTTAAGAGAATATTAAGGGTTAAGTTTGTCATGGGTCTCTTTGAGAACCCATTGGCTGATCTCAGCTTAGCAAACCAACTAGGAAGCCAGGTAATTCCCCCGTTGACAAAAATGATCATGACAAGCTCCACCCAAGGGGATGCAAGACAACTTTTGTCAAAACCATAAGTTTCCGTTCTGGTGTAATGTAAATTCTCTTCACCTGGTTTTTCCTTGACTTGGTTCCTTTCTTTTCAACTTAAATTCTTTCTGTAGGAACACAGAGAGTTAGCAAGAGAAGCGGTGAGAAAATCACTTGTACTATTGAAGAATGGAAAAGTTACTAGCCAGCCACTGCTTCCCCTTCCGAAAAAAGTGACGAAGATACTTGTCGCTGGCATTCATGCTGACAATTTGGGTTACCAGTGTGGAGGCTGGACTATAAGTTGGCAGGGAATTGGAGGCAATGATCTTACCACAGGTATCTTTCTGTTATCTTGCAATTAGAAGTCTTCACAGTTCTTTGAGCCAGTGCAAATCAAAATCTCGTCGTTGCATAAACCTTAGCAGTTATTTTGAACTATTGAGATCCCACTTTGCAACTTAATATGTTTGTGATAGATTTCTGTCTTTATTTCATCTGTCACTTAAGTACAAATAAACCTCAACTTTTATTGTGTGCATTTTGAATAATGCACAGTAAATGCAACTGATTTTTTCAACACCTTAGGATTTTGTAAGACACATACATGTGGCTTCAACCAAAGTGATAAAAGAACAACTTGGACTCTAATTTAGTAGGGCTATTTGAATCTTAGCACCATTTTTTTAGTGGCATTAGTTAAAGATATATTTAAAGTATTGGTTAAAAATGGGTGAGAGTGTGATAGTTTCTTAAAGGGTGACATCAAGGGTATAATAACAGACTCATTTTCTATTTTGTTGATGAAAAGGTAGAGACTTTTTTTAGTAAGTTACCAAAAGAAGTACATATACATCAGAGAAAGGAACATCCTTTTATATACTGAAAGAGTACAAGAGATCTAATAGTGAAGCTTTTTCTTTAGCAAAGTATAATGTAGCTCGGGATGGAGTAAACTGGGAAAGGTGAATCAAATAGGCTTTGACAGCGTCAGTCTTGGAAGGACTTACATAATTGGATATTGCTTGGCTACTTCTATAAACTTTAGACCATATCTATCTGGTTTCCAGAACAGTTGCACTTATGCACTGTTTAACGAATGATCTACAAGCTGCACGAAAAGATTGATGCGACATTTGATTTTTTATTTTTGAGATCGTGCTCGATAATCGTCAAATTTTTAAATGAGAATTATTATTTCTTGTAGCATCAGACTGAATAAGCTCTCATATATGTGACAAATACAGGAACTACAATTTTAAATGCTGTGAAAAACACAGTCCATCCATCTACACAAGTAGTCTACCAGGACAATCCAGACGTAAACTTTGTTAAGTCCAACCACTTCTCCTATGCCATTGTTGTCGTGGGTGAGACACCCTATGCAGAGATGTTTGGCGATAGTGCAAAACTTACAATTGCTGAACCTGGTCCAAGCATCATTTCCAATGTCTGTGGGGTTGTGAAATGTGTGGTAGTTGTCGTCTCTGGGCGTCCAGTTGTGATTGAACCGTATCTTGCAAACATAGACGCCCTTGTGGCTGCTTGGCTTCCGGGAAGTGAAGGCCAAGGTGTTGCTGATGTCCTGTTTGGTGACTATGGATTCACAGGCAAACTTGCGCGCACTTGGTTCAAGTCAGTTGATCAGCTTCCCATGAATGTTGGTGATCCACATTATGATCCTTTGTTTCCTTTTGGATTTGGTCTCACTACTAAGCCTGTGAAGAGCTAAAATTTCTTCCTCTGGCGTTCTACTTGCTGCTCAATCTTTATATTTTTTTGTTTGTTTAATGGATATTTAATATCATAATATTAGAGTTTACAAAAAAGGAGCAGCATTAGTTCAATACTGTACTCTAGTCTACCTAGTTACTATTATCATCCAAAATTTAAGGTTCGAAAGTAGTGCCTAAAATGTCTAGCTAATGCCTGAAGGATATACAAAAAGCCTGATGCAATTATAAAGAGCTTTATTTATGCCTTGTATCGAACAATTCTTGATGTTGTGGATTCAGGATTTTCACTCGAGGGTGCAGAAGTTGTAGCGTGCAGAAGTTGTAGCATGCACCCACTTCTACACCCAGCCAGAATCGACCTGGATCACAGGGGCCGGTAGCAAGGCCCAATTGTTTCTGTTTGAGAAGGTTCAAAGGTTATATATGGGCGTATATATAGAAAATTTATCCATTTTTCATGTTAAGAGCTCTATTGGTCTTTTAAAAACTTAAAAAGGAGTTATTTGCAATTTTCCTGTCACGTGATTGCTTTTTCTGGAAAGAATGATTTTGAGTAGTCATGAGGGTTTCGTGTGTGCTATTTTTTTTGTGTTTTTCACCAGATTGGCCAAGCACCAGGCACAAAAAGAATGGGGAGATTTTCAGTACCCATGAGGCTTTTGTGTTGTTCTGCCTATGGCCAGTGATTGCAGAGGCAGAGTACTTACAAGGACCCAAAACAGTCAAATTGGACTAAAAAAGTAAAATTTTAACAATTCACTTAATATGGATTAGAGGGAGTAACTAAAATCAAAATATGTCTTCGTCAAATATATAGAATCATATATATTCTTGCTGTAACTAAAATGAGTTAAATTTGTCCTTATTTTCAAATGTCGAAAGTTTAACACCCAACCATGTCACTATCTTGCAATTAAGGAATTTTTTTATTTTATTTTTAAACGGTGAACAAATTTCAACTTTTCTCATGGTGGAGGAGTGAATGCCCAATTTCCAAATATTATTTTTTCATTTTGAAAACAAAAACTTTCTTTTTTTAATTTAAAATTTTCATAATGAAGCATGGCAAATGCCTACTAAGTCCCTAATCACACCCTACCCCCATTACCCCCACTGATTTTGTTTGGATGGATGTTACGTATTATTTCATATCGTATTGTATTTTATTGTGTTGTATTATTACATAATGTTACACATCCATAATTTGAATGACAAACCTATAATAAAAGTAGGGTATGAAATAGAGTTACTATGAAAAGGTTGAGTAAAAGATGAAATATAATTATTAAATAATAAATAATATTACACATCCATAATTTGAATGATAAACCTATAATAAAAGTAGGGTATGAGATAGAGCTACTATGAAAAGGTTGGGTAAAAGATGAAATATAATTATTAAATAATAAATAAACACAAAATAAGAAGAAAATATTAAGGTAACTATGCGATCACACCAAATCGATCCTTACATAAAATGGATCTTTTCATCATATGGCGTCGCGCGAGGTGGAAGCTGGTCTCCCGTGCGCCCCGAGCTCGCGGCTGGTCTAAATGTGAGTCCACGTCAACGGACGTCGCGACAAGTGGTGGTTGAAACTCAACTCTCTTTTGTTGTCGCAGCTACATCCCGTCTTGCGTCCGGAATCCCAGACCCTCTTTGCACTAAGGCACTCCGACCGCGACCCCAGGTCAGACATGATTACTTAATCATATCAATATACGGAGGAAAAGGGTAGAATATTTGAACTGAATTTAAGTAACAATCAAAACAAACATTGCATTTAAACTAACAATACAATACAACACAACACGTAACAACCATCCAAACAAGGTGTAAAGGCCGAGCTAGAAGCCCGAATACGGGTACGACCGAATCCATTAGCTTTTGTTCAAAGAGCGGATTTGTTAAGAAATTCATTAAATATGTATTGAGTATTAAATTCAAAACCCAGCCTCTACCAAGTACCCTGTCACTCAATCTGCATGGTGTGTGTTACAGTGTAATGTGTATATATACTCACCTACTTATTCTCAATAAAATTGCCTGTTTCAGAGTAGAAGAAGCTCAACAAGTAAGTTATCCATTTCTTGTTTATACCTCTTTTCTTTTTTCATACTTGTCAAAAAACTTGTTTCTTGTTTGTACACTTTTTTTTTTTGCACTGATCTTCAATGTGTGCTATTTTTTGAGGTTTACCAGATTGGCTAAGCAGAAGGCACAAAAACAATGGGAAGATTTTCAATACCCATGAAGGGTTTTGTGTTGTTCTGTCTATGGGCAGTGAGTGCAGAAGCAGAGTACCTAAAATACAAGGACCCAAAACAGCCAATGTCTACAAGAATTAAGGACTTGATGAAAAGGATGACTCTTGAGGAAAAGATTGGTCAGATGAGTCAGATTGAGAGGAGATTTGCCTCACCTGATGTTATGAACCAATATTTCATTGGTATGTTTTTAAAAATTCATTCTTTATGTGTTTATAGTGCTGTTTATAATTGGAAATAACCTCTCTACCCCATAAAAAGTAGGAGTAAGGTTTGCGTACACAGTAACATCATCATACCCCGCTTGTGGGATTGCACTGGGTATAGCTGCTGTAGTGTATGTTAGAAATTCATTTTTATAGAAATTCTTCTGGGCAGGGAGTGTGTTGAGTGTTCCAGGGGATACTCCTGGGCTTAATGCTACTGCTGAGGATTGGGTCAATATGGTAAACGAGATTCAAAAGGCTGCTCTTTCGACCCGCCTTGGTATTCCAATGATTTATGGGATTGATGCAATTCACGGACACAACGATGTCTATAATGCAACTATCTTTCCTCACAATATTGGGCTTGGTGTCACCAGGCAAGTATATAAATTATAGTAACAACTATGCATCTGATTTTTGTTCATCATCTCAAATGATCCTGTTAATATTTGTCACTTCAATGTAGGGACCCTGATCTTGTGAAACGGATTGGTGCTGCAACCGCACTTGAAGTTAGAGCGACAGGAATACCATATGCTTTTGCTCCCTGCGTTGCAGTAAGTTGATATGAATGAACTTTTTGGTAAAGTTGCATTTCAATTTCTTTGTTATTTGAATAACTGTGTTATGGTAGGTGTGCAGAGATCCTAGGTGGGGCCGTTGTTATGAAAGCTACAGCGAAGATATCAATATTGTGCGAACCATGACAGAGATAATTCCTGGTTTACAAGGAGATGTGCCAGCTAATTCTAGCAAGGGTGTTCCCTTTGTTGGCGGAAAGTATGTATCTTTATCAATTTTCACATCTACTATACTACTTTCCTGATGATGATTGTCGTGGAACATTCGTTTGATTGCACTTTCAACTGTTTAAGGTCAAAGGTAGCAGCCTGTGCCAAGCATTATGTTGCAGATGGAGGCACGGAGAGGGGAATCGATGAAAATAACACTGTAATTAACAGAACTAGTTTATATGGCATCCACATGCCTGCATATTACGATTCAATCATAAAGGGTGTTTCAACTGTGATGATTTCTTACTCAAGCTTGAACGGGGAAAAGATGCACACTAACCGAGATCTTGTCACTCGCTTCCTAAAGGACAATCTCAAATTCAGGGTAAGAATGATTAGCTCTGCTCACTCAAAATCAGTAAGTTAAGGTCAAGTAGTAATATAACACATTTGTTGGCCTTGCATCTTTTTCAGGGTTTCATCATTTCTGATTCGGAAGGCCTTGACCGCATTACAAGCCCACCTGATGCTAATTACACTTATTCAGTTCAAGCTGGAATTTTAGCAGGAATTGACATGGTTGGTTTGTTTTGCTTGATCTCGAATCATTTTTAGCAAAAATGATAGTCTATATGATTGTTTCGCTATGCTGCAGGTTATGATTCCAAATAACTACGCAGAATTTATTGGGAATCTGACTCTACTAGTGAAAGATAATATCATTCCCATGAGTAGAATTGATGATGCTGTAGAGCGGATATTGAGAGTTAAGTTTATCCTGAGTCTCTTTGAGGACCCACTGGCTGACCTTAGCTTGGTAAACCAACTCGGTAGCCAGGTAACTTTGAAATTCAGAAACTGTTTCAATACTTGTGATCTAAGTACATCTTTTACGTGTGAATCACTGTGATCTATCATGCTTCACCGCCACTCTGCAGGAGCATCGAGAGTTGGCAAGGGAAGCAGTAAGGAAATCGCTTGTCCTTCTGAAGAATGGCAAGATCACTAGTCAGCCATTACTTCCCCTTCCTAAGAAAGCACCAAAGATACTTGTAGCTGGAACTCATGCTGACAATTTGGGTTACCAATGCGGAGGCTGGACCAATCAATGGCAGGGCGTCTCAGGCAATAATTTCATAGTTGGTAAGGGAACTGTTATTTCGTATTAGGAGTAACAACATATAGATAGCTACTAATTGATTAATGATAATATGACAATTGTTTTACATGTCAGCGTACACAACTTAAACTCTTGTAGCATTATTCTATATTTGACAGGAACCACTATTTTAAGTGCTATCAAGAAAACTGTAGATCCATCTACACAAGTAGTGTACCAGCAGAATCCTGATGCAAACTATGTGAAGTCAAACAAATTCGACTATGCTATTGTTGTAGTAGGTGAAGTCCCATATGCAGAGATGTTTGGTGACAGCTCAAATCTTACAATACCAGAACCTGGTCCTAGCACTATTAACAGTGTCTGTGGGGCTGTGAAATGTGTTGTAGTCATCATCTCTGGTCGTCCAGTTGTGTTAGAGCCTTATGTTGATAAAATAGATGCACTTGTCGCTGCTTGGCTTCCGGGGACTGAAGGCCAAGGTGTTGCAGATGTTTTATTTGGTGAGTATGGTTTCACTGGTGAACTTGCTAGGACTTGGTTCAGGTCAGTTGACCAGCTTCCTATGAATGTTGGCGATCCACACTACAATCCCCTCTTTCCCTTTGGATTTGGACTCACAACTCAGCCAGTGAAAATGAATTAGAACTAGGTATGTTATTGTTGTGTTATTATAATAATCCCACTTTGTGTGACTAGACTGGGTATGTTGTTGTTGTTG